CACGATCACTTGCTTACCTTGTACACCTCAAAACACACTTGTACAATAAATCGATTTGCTTAAAACAAATGATAACCACATCTGCAGCACAAAAAGAACTATTCTTTAGCGCTGTCAACATCAGCTGCTGCATCCGCATTCTCCACTACCCTGTCTTCTCAGAAGCGACGTTACAGTTTACAACCAGCTCAACTCGAGCGAGAAAGCGGCTTACACGAGATCGTCAATCTGCTGAGTGGATATTTCGGTGACTTTTCACTACCCATAATCAGCAGCCAGCTGCGACCACGGACGGATACGAGACTCTCCGGGGAGCCAAAAGAGGCTGGCCCCCTTTTTCTTGAGCGGCAAGCCCCCAAAGTGGGGCCGTGGTAAAAAGGAGGAGGGCTTCTCCTCGCTGCGTGCGCTACTGGAGGCAGCGCAGCGAGTGGCACGATCACTTGCTTACCTTGTACACCTCAAAACACACTTGTACAATAAATCGATTTGCTTAAAACAAATGATAACCACATCTGCAGCACAAAAAGAACTATTCTTTAGCGCTGTCAACATCAGCTGCTGCATCCGCATTCTCCACTACCCTGTCTTCTCAGAAGCGACGTTACAGTTTACAACCAGCTCAACTCGAGCGAGAAAGCGGCTTACACGAGATCGTCAATCTGCTGAGTGGATATTTCGGTGACGTTTCACTACCCATAATCAGCAGCCAGCTGCGACCACGGACGGATACGAGACTCTCCGGGGAGCCAAGAAGCTGGCCCCCTTTTTCTTGAGCGGCAAGCCCCCCAAAGTGGGGCCGTGGTAAAAGGAGGAGGGGCTTCTCCTCGCTGCGTGCGCTACTGGAGGCAGCGCAGCGAGTGGCACGATCACTTGCTTACCTTGTACACCTCAAAACACACTTGTACAATAAATCGATTTGCTTAAAACAAATGATAACCACATCTGCAGCACAAAAAGAACTATTCTTTAGCGCTGTCAACATCAGCTGCTGCATCCGCATTCTCCACTACCCTGTCTTCTCAGAAGCGACGTTACAGTTTACAACCAGCTCAACTCGAGCGAGAAAGCGGCTTACACGAGATCGTCAATCTGCTGAGTGGATACTTCGGTGACTTTTCACTACCCATAATCAGCAGCCAGCTGCGACCACGGACGGATACGAGACTCTCCGGGGAGCCAAGAAGCTGGCCCCCTTTTCTTGAGCGGCAAGCCCCCAAAGTGGGGCCGTGGTAAAAAGGAGGGAGGGCTTCTCCTCGCTGCGTGCGCTACTGGAGGCAGCGCAGCGAGTGGCACGATCACTTGCTTACCTTGTACACCTCAAAACACACTTGTACAATAAATCGATTTGCTTAAAACAAATGATAACCACATCTGCAGCACAAAAAGAACTATTCTTTAGCGCTGTCAACATCAGCTGCTGCATCCGCATTCTCCACTACCCTGTCTTCTCAGAAGCGACGTTACAGTTTACAACCAGCTCAACTCGAGCGAGAAAGCGGCTTACACGAGATCGTCAATCTGCTGAGTGGATACTTCGGTGACGTTTCACTACCCATAATCAGCAGCCAGCTGCGACCACGGACGGATACGAGACTCTCCGGGGAGCCAAGAAGCTGGCCCCCTTTTTCTTGAGCGGCAAGCCCCCCAAAGTGGGGCCGTGGTAAAAAGGAGGAGGGCTTCTCCTAGCTGCGTGCGCTACCGGAGGCAGCGCAGCGAGTTGCACGATCACTTGCTTCCCTTGTATGCCTCAAAACACACTTGTACAATAAATCGATTTGCTTAAAACAAATGATAACCACATCTGCAGCACAAAAAGAACTATTCTTTAGCGCTGTCAACATCAGCTGCTGCATCCGCATTCTCCACTACCCTGTCTTCTCAGAAGCGACGTTACAGTTTACAACCAGCTCAACTCGAGCGAGAAAGCGGCTTACACGAGATCGTCAATCTGCTGAGTGGATACTTCGGTGACGTTTCACTACCCATAATCAGCAGCCAGCTGCGACCACGGACGGATACGAGACTCTCCGGGGAGCCAAGAAGCTGGCCCCCTTTTTCTTGAGCGGCAAGCCCCCCAAAGTGGGGCCGTGGTAAAAAGGAGGAGGGCTTCTCCTCGCTGCGTGCGCTACCGGAGGCAGCGCAGCGAGTGGCACGATCACTTGCTTCCCTTGTACACCTCAAAACACACTTGTACAATAAATCGATTTGCTTAAAACAAATGATAACCACATCTGCAGCACAAAAAGAACTATTCTTTAGCGCTGTCAACATCAGCTGCTGCATCCGCATTCTCCACTACCCTGTCTTCTCAGAAGCGACGTTACAGTTTACAACCAGCTCAAATCGAGAGAGAAAGCGGCTTACACGAGATCGTCAATCTGCTGAGTGGATACTTCGGTGACGTTTCACTTCCCATGATCAGCAGCCAGCTGCGACCACGGACGGATACGAGACTCTCCGGGGAGCCAAGAAGCTGGCCCCCTTTTTCTTGAGCGGCAAGTCCCCCAAAGTGGGGCCGTGGTAAAAAGGAGGAGGGCTTCTCCTTGCTGCGTGCGACTCGCTGCGCTGCCTCCCGAAGCACACGCAGCGGTAAGCACGATATTCTAGTGCAAGGCACGTCGACGATGGACCGACCCAACCTCCAAAACGAATAAGTTCCTACCCTTCACAGTCTGCCTACAACTCGCCCACACGTTCGCTGAGCACAAGCACGAGCCCACAAAGGGAACACTCCCAAGTTTGTGATGACTCTTGTTGTAACGGGGAAACAACAGGGGTCATCACGGTCCTTTGTAATGACCAGATGTATTGGTGTCCTACACACAGAAAGAGATTAGCATCACTGGTAAGCCGTGCTTCTGCATCATAAACGCTAAGCGATACTACCATACCCTATCGATAATGGTTAGAGGATATCTATCGGAACAGGGTCTTCATAGAGACGACTTAGCTCTGGAGTGGTACTCAAGAAGAACTACGATGAGGACTGTTCAATTAGGTAGCATAGTGTAAGGAGAAAGACGCAGGTTAGGTTTTTTATTGCTACAAAGCAGTAACTATATTCAGTTCCCTTTTTGATCAGTTTCAGACACGTGTCTTTCTAAGACGTTTCTGGTCGTAAGAGTTGATTGTCTGAGTTAAGGCTAAGTACTCTTGGACATTATTGTCACGTGATTTTGTGCAGTCGTAGTCGCCTGAACCAGGACTAGAAGCTTAAGAGCTTGTACATACACTTAGACTCAAGTCTCACCAAGTCTCTAAGACTTGAGATCCTTTATGGTAATGCCCGTTTTTGTATCTTTTGATATACTAAGAGACCCTACTAGTCTAGAAGTCCTCATCTGTCGAAGGATCAAGGGTAGCTCCGCTAAACTTGGTAGCACTTGTAGTCAACCTTTACCTGAGTCAGTTAAAGACTGTTTCTCTGTAAGGATAGAAACAATGATAAACCTCTCTGAAGCTCAGGGATTGGCGCTGGAACGATAAACCTCTCTGAAGCCCAAGGACTGGCGCTGAAATTGGGCAAGGAAACGACCATTTAATATCACTTAGGTCTACTCGGGGTGTTCCCGTGCCTGATGGAGACCCAAGAGCACACCCCCTTGTCGTGACTGTATAGACATTTGAGAGATTAGATGGGGAAATATCCTCCTGTTATTTAAAGAGGTCGCCATAAACTCCGCTATGCTCCGGTAGGAGCATTAGAGAGTTGGGATGGATATTGAAAAACTGGGTGATAGATCCATAGAATGGGATTCCACGTGTAGCACGTCGGTGGACGAAACTTTCCCCACATGGGATTTACTAAAAAAAAGCAAGTGTCCCGGGTGTTTGCTACGCCTAATTAGGCATACCGGGTGCATTCTCATTTTTTGTATGTCCTTCAGGGCGAGAAAGAGCTATCGGAATATGTCCAGTAACTGAGAACTCTAACCGCTTCCGTGCACCTCGACTTCCAGACGGAAATGGCTTTTAACTACCAAGTTCATGGTAGTCCTTCATACGGGCGTGGATCGTTGCGGACCGATTTGGATGGCGTGACTGTTCTATCCATCACAATGTCTGAGTCGCTTTAGATCAAGCGTAGATAACAAGACCATGCATAGGCGACATAAAACAGGCACCCATTGTTTGGGTGCCACGAAACTTCACGTATACTAGTACATGCAGAGGAAGCTAGTCTGCTTAACGACTAAGCTGAGTAAAGGGTAAAAAGAGAACAGAATTTAATATAGTTAAGCTATCAATGAAACTTTAATCTTTATCCAACTGTATTAAACTAAGTCGTCGTATGACGACAACCTGCTCACCACTCATTGCTCGCGTCTAGCAGCGATTAAGGGCAATATATGGTTGATATGTCTTATATCAACCAATCTTGGAGCAACGCATGAATGTTATCTAAATGGGGATAATATTCTTTTAACCTTATCCACCCCGGATAATATTGGTAGGATATTGTCATGCTAGACATATCTCTAATGACACCGTTTGTGGTCAATTTCATGTAACAACCTACCCCGTTACATCACCCATCCCTTAACCATCAATCACCCGTTTCTTAAACAAAATTGATTGAAAAAGCGTGACCACTGTTAGATACCTCTGGAATAGGGAGCACTGGTTGGTCGAATGCCATCCATTTGCCAATCCAGGCATGGCTTTGAAAAACCAAGCGCGTTGCTACTGCAGCAGCAAGAAGGGCGTCTGCACGCATGCGTGCAGCCGGGGAAAGCACCTCTCACACCTCAGTAGCAAATGATTCGTCGCCTTTTACTGTAAATCGTCCACGTGGTGAGTCACAACGTGCGACAGGTATATCCGCTGCGTATGCAGCGGGTACCACTAGTCGTAATTAAGATGAGTCTGAAATAGAATTCATTTATTCCGGCGAGCCGGATGATGCATCCGACTCTAAGGCGACATCTCACACCTCCGGACCACCCGGGGCGAGCACTACAAGAGTTAGGTTGACTGGCCCTGGTCAACGTGGCGGCATCATGCTCGTGATTTTCGGATCGAGTGATTTTCACGCAAGTCTCTCCAACGATAGGACGCGTGGAGATGGTGGTGATGCACCTATGCATCACCACGAGCGAAGTAACTCAAGGGATCGAGGTAAAACTGGTGCCAGTACTCATGCTGGCACTAATCAAGAGGCCAGGGACCGAAATGACCTGCGCCACGCTCCTTTAGAGGAGTCTCCGTGGATGCCGCCATCCAGAGAGTTGGACCGGTTGGCCGGCACGACTTCCGAACGGGATCGAATTCCGTTGTTCGATTGCAGGAAGATTTGCCCACCTGATTCCAGCACGAAAACTATCCGTGCTGAGGAAGAATTCTTCACCGATGCGTTCTTCAAACATCGGTGGAACAATGATAGCCGTGTTCGAGACGGCAAAGCTTTGGTGCAGGAATGGAATGCCCTCATCCACAACAGTGAGTGCATTGTCCGTGAGGCCTGGATCGCCAAACATGATGCAGTTTGCATCAGGTTTGAGAAGCGCAACCCAGTCGGGGCGCGATACGAGTTGCACGAGCTACCAAGAGAGGGAAGATTACCCTGTCTCTCGTGGAGTGATTCGCGTCCAGGTTTCCTGGACAACTTAAATCGTACCCCTAGAAAAGCCTTTCTCCCGAATGATCCCTACTGGAGGGCGCGCGTCTCTTCTAAGATGGCCGAAGGGTTGGCACCTTGCAATCCCTGTACTCGCGTTCGAATAGGTCATATTCCGACGGCCATTCTTCGAACGCAGCGGGTGGGTCTCATCGTACAGCTCGAAGAGACCAATGACATCAACAATCAGCTAGGCACGAGTGTCCCAGTTGTCCCACGCCGGTGGATAGCCACGCCAGCGGACATGGTAGCTCGTCCGGACGCCATTCACGTCGCGGTGGTTCAAAATACGCTCCACTAGAAAGCGTTGACCATTGATTGAGTCCACCAAAATATGTGGTGGCGGTGGAAACACCTGTTCCGGCCCTCGAGCCGGATCAGCTTGATGTTCAGGAACTGAACCATGTAACGAATTAGTTACACGATGACCTGGATCATGAACGGACTCGGCTTTATCAGCTTCAGGATCGTGTAAGGGATAATTGAATTTCCCTAACGCACGATTGTTCGGACGATTGTGCCGCGTTTGCGTTTGCGTTTGTGCGAATTGAGTACGAACGTTTGACTTATTCTCTTCGTGACGAGCTGGCTGCAGCTCGTCGAGATATCGCTTAACTGCGTGAGAAGGTCGCTTCGCTAGTCGACCAGACTGGCTCGTTGAAACGGGACCACTCGAAGGTGGTCTCGGCTCTCGACCGCAGAGGTGTTCTTCGCATCTCGAAACGGGCTCGTTCTGATTGTACGGGAGGAGACGACCGACGTAAAACGTAGGATGCATACGCATCTTACGGGGCAGCTCAATAGTGTATGCGAAGCCATTCGGCGCAACACACGAAATGGACCGATGTACCTGGGCAGTAATTTACTGCTGCCCACGTTTGTCACTGCGTGTTTCGGTAAGTTTACTGTGGACAGTAAATCTTGGTCTCCTTCATCAAATGACAGAAAATTTGCTTTTCAATGTTTGTCTGCGTTTCTCTTCTGTCTGTCTATGCATCTGCAATAGAGTCTTAAATGAAGCGTACAACTGCTTCGCGATTCAGCAGAAATTCCTCTGCTGATTCATCCTTGTCAACAGCAGTGCGCTCCGTGTGCACTGCTGAAAGAAAGTTGTCTTCATTAGTGAGGGCGTCATCGTCCTCACTGTGGCAGTCATTGTCGATGCTGAATTTGCCAGCATTGTCGTCATCACCATCATCGATATCAATCCCATCGACATCGGCATTTATCACGTCGGCACCATTGTCGACGGGTGATGAGCAAGAACCAGATCGGGTTTTGTTCGAGCGAGTCCACCCTCCCTTAACTAGAGTCGCACTCTAAGAAGGCGGGTAAACGTGGCTAACGTAGGCCATTCACGAAGAACGGTGTATGCGTTGTAGACGCATGCAACGAGTTGTTGATGGCGAATTCCGCCATCGGCAAGAACTCACTCAAGCTCGTAAACGAGTGGACATGCCCTCTAAGTATCTCTTCGAGAACGCGGTTGACGCGTTCCGTTCGACCATCTGTTCGGGATGGTCAGAAGATGACATCGTCAAACGTGTAACAAGTGAACGGAACACGGATTGCTAGAACTCCGCTGTAAAGCGGAAGTCCCTATCGGACACGAGTTCACGGGGTAACCCGTGAAGTCAGAAGATCGTATCGTTGACAACACGAGCACAGCCCTGCGCAGTAATTTTCTTCGGTAAAGCGACAAGATGTATCATCTTGCTGAAACGATGTACAAACACAAGAATACCAGTATTTATGTGAACGTCTTTGGGAAACCCGAAGACGAGTTCCATTGATACGGACTGCCAACTATCTGCCGGAATCGGGAGAGGCTGCAAGGGTGCGCGAGATGAAAGACTAGGCTTCACCCGTTGACAAACTTTGCAAGCGCAAATGTATTTCCGCACAAAATCATACTGGCGGAGCCAGTGGAAGTCACGACTCATCATGCGGTAAGTCTTTTCCCTACCGCGATGTCCACTTGTTGGGGCATCGTGACACTCATACATGATGCGCAATCGCAAATCATTATGAGCCGGAACGACGACACGAGGTGTGTCGCCGCTGACTGCTGCATAGTACAGCAGTCCATCACGAACAGAATAATGTTCGGTTGAAGAGTGGTATTGAGACGACAAGCTTTTTAGTGATTGATTACAGGGAATGAAAACGTAATCCATCAACCGCAGAAGAGAATCATCTTCTGCGTATGCTTTTCGCACGTCGTCGAGCAGCTTCGACGACGGAACACACACTAATAGTGTTGCAACAGCGGGATCACTCCTACTGTTGTGTTGAGCAGTCGGCTCGAAATCGGGCCGACGCGAAAGAGCATCAGCGACGACATTAAGTCGTCCTGATTCATACTCGGCGGAGAAGTTGTACTCCAGAAGAAAGACAGCCACCTCGCCATTCGTTGCGAGAGGTGAGGACTGTTTAGGGCCGTGCGTAACGACGCAAGGTCGGTATAAACGATGAAGGGTCTATCTCGTAAGAGAAATACCCGAAATTTGGCCAGCGCATGTTTCATGGCAAGGAGTTCCTTGCCATGCTCCGGGTAATTACGCTCAGCCGCTTGCAGCTGACGCGATTGATAACAGACGACGCGCTCCACGCCTTCTGAGTCATACTGCATTAACGCGCAGCCGATTGCAAAATCTCTGGCGTCAAAGACCACACGAAGTAGCCTATCCTGATCTGCAACTGCCAACACAGGCGATTGCACCAAGCTTTCGTGACGCCTTGAGAAGAGTGCTGACACTCAGCGCTCCATGACCACCTCTCGTTTTTATTTAGTAGACGAGAGAGATGTACGGTCATTTCGGCATAGATGCGCGAGTGTTTGTGCAAATACGCTGCTAAGCCAAGGAACTTTAAGTCCCTTGACGTCGATGGCACAGGCCAGTCGCTAATCGCCTTGATCTTTTCCGGATCAGGGCGTACACCGTTTTTACCGACGATGCAGCCAAGAAGTGGTATTTCGTTCGCTGCGAATATACACTTCTTTAGGTTCGCGAACAACTTTTGCTCTCACATCAGAGTAAGAACCTTCCGGACGTGGATTCTAAGAACCTCCACGTCCTTCTTCCCATCCATAGCCCGGCCATGGACGAAGACATCGTCGAAGTGACTCGGCACAAAATCGCGCACCGATCGCAACAGATTTGTAACACATTTGTTAAACGTTGCGGGGGCGTTACTTAGCCCCTGTGGCATAACTAGCCACTCCCAGAGAATTCTACTGGGGGTGCTCCCTGCTGTGTAAGGGACATCCCGTTCACGCATGAGGATCTGATAGAATCCATCCATCAGGTCAATGGACGAGAAGATGGTACTCTTTGCTATACCATCAATGATGACTTACTTACTTGGGATCTGTGTTTGAGCCGGTACCGTTGCAGCATTCAATTTGTTGAGCGCGTGCACTATCCGCCACCGTCCTGTGGCCTTTCGCACACAGAAGGTCGGAGAGCAGTGTAGAAATGTTAATTCCTTCGCATCACCAGCCGCTAAACGATCAGCAAAAAATTTGTTGATCGCTGTTACTGTTTACGGGGCAGTGGCCACTGTCTAACGGAACAGTGCTTCCAACCAGGTTTCAGTTCGATCTCATGCCGAGTGCCTTTGTCTTTGGGCAGCTCGCATGGCACAAATTCAGGGACAGCTTTCCTGAACTAAACCAAATCCTTATACAAGGGATTTGTCTTTAAAGACTCCCAAGATTGAGACGCGTATCGCTCAATCCGAGTCTTCTCATCGAGGAAACTCTCGTCCATAGATGAGCTACTGAGAATCCGTTCGTTCTCAGCAAAACTTGTGCCGACCGAATATCGGCGACGTACTCGTCCTCTGTGACGAGTAAGCAGGTCTGCTTGATCTTGTCACGACGCAGATATTGCAAGAATGTTTTAGATTTTAGCATTATCAACTTGCTTACCTCCGAAGCTGACTTCGGGGGTGTCACCAGATCAAGTGTATTAGCGTCTACACTTGATCCGTCATTCACCAAGACATTAAATGACTCAATGATTTCCTAGGAAAACACATCCGCAGGTGGTTGGGGATCCACACCCTCAACAAAACTCTCTTGGGAGTTATTGCTCTTAAGAACGCCGGAATTTTCTTCCGTTACGTGTACTATCACGGTCACGTCCTCTTCCATCGACTCTCTTTCAGTCGAGCGGGCTTGCTCTACGATCGACTCTCTGATAGTCGATCTCGCTTCAACGTGTTGTTCATCCTGAACAACACTAATCTCTCTTCTTAAATGCACCCTTCTTTGTGTGCATCCGTGTTTCAGTCCACTCGATCTCTTCAAGTGGTGAACCATCGGCGCAGCCTGTGTCTCTACACAGGTGCCAGGAGCTTGTTTCAAGATGCAGTGGCCTTCTACACTGTGATCTTGTGCAATCGTACTAACGACCGTACCACAAGTGATGCCATCGCACTCACTCGCAGTACATCTACACGCTCGTGGACGCTCCAAGCCGTTCATCAGATGGCCGTCCGATGAACAAACAGCAGGTATCTTCACGGATCGATGCTGCCAGCTAACCCATGGCTGGTACTTTCTAAGCCATGGAAGACCAAGGATGACATCAAATTTGTCATCCAAATCTAAACGATGAAGTCATCATCGTATTGATTTTCTTTTAGCGAGTAGTGGATTCCTACTACACGCCGTTCACTGCTACGAATGCGCCTGCAGCAAGGCACACCTTCATCCTCGTTGGAGGTAACTCTAGCTCAACATAGTTAAGTCTACTACCCCCTAGCGACTGGCGTCGAATAAAACTGTTCGACGCACCACAGTCAAATAGGGCGCGAAGTGACATTCCACTTGTCACTCCGATCTTTAAAGTGATCAGAACTCCTCATCACTAAGGGCAGTAACACACGGCGACTGTTTGTTGGGAGCAATCTTCGTCAAGAGTCCTGCAAATTTTCTTGACGTTGCTGAATCAGCAGGGTGCTCCGCACCTACTGACCCTGACCGTTTTTTGACGGTCCGACTTGCTGTCGCGGCTTGGCGACATGGTCGGACCCACGCCTCGGAACCTTCCTTGGCCAGCGGCGGTCATCACGTCCTGTTTTCGGACGTGTCAAAGTGCTCGGAACACTACAATCGTGAGCGTAGTGTCCAATCTTCTGACAGCGATGGCATCTTGCCGTTCTCCTGTGACTCAAAGAGCGCGAGTTCTCGCTCTCGGTTTAACAGAGGTCCATAGGTTTGGGACCTCCTCTTTCCTGTCGCCTCGTCGGAAGATAGCTCGAAGAGTTAGCCTGAGACTGTCACATGCTGAA